GCTTGCATTTAACAGCAACTTACTATAGCATTAGTACAATCAAGCTAAGCCTAACGACTGAGAATGAATATAGAAAGTAAGTGCTTGCATTTAACAGCAACTTACTATATCATTAGTGCAATCAAGCTAAGCCTAACGACTGAGAATGAATATAGAAAGTAAGTGCTTGCATTTAACAGCACCTTACTATATCATTAGCACAATCAAGCTAAGCCTAACGACTGAGAAGGAATATAGAAAGTAAGTGCTTGCATTTAACATTTGCCGTTAGTTTTTATGTGGTGTCAAGTTTCTAAGTGCTTTGATTTTCAGTCTAGGAGATCTGAAGACGTTTCTTTCTGTAACCGACATGGAGACATTAGAACTAAATAAAACAGAAATAATGGATGTTATCCAAGAGAAAAAAAACCTAGGGAATGAATTAACTATGATGGTAAGTTCAAGTATTACGATTTTTAAACGAAAGTTCACGATTTAAGAGCTCTTAAAAATTATACATTGTGACCAAAAAACGTCAATACAAATAGCGTCCGTCTATAGATTTATAATCATGCATTTTTAGTTGTATTAAAATAACAATGGATTATGTTGTTTGTTTGTTTTTTTACATTTGTTTTACAATTTTGTTACATTATATGCGACACCAAACATTACGTGTGTGTGTGTTGTTCTGTAATCAGGTATAATCAACTTTAATAATGTACCAAAAAATTATAAATTAATTTTGATCTCGCTTTAAACCAATTTTTGTTCAAAGAGGTCTGGCCACATAATTTACGTGTTTAATGAGTTCTATTTTCACAATTTTATCAATCATTTTACACTATTTCCTAAAAAAAAAGAGCTATAATTTATTATTAAGAACACTCAAAATGCGCCATTTATTTAATAGATAAACATAAACTCAAGAGATCAAGGGTTCGAATCCTACTCGCCAGACATTTCTTCAAATTATTCGTACTTTTGTATACTTTAATTCTCATCATAATACAACATACATAAATATTTTCAAATATGAAACTATTTTCAACATTGCTTTTCTATTAGTTTATGAAGCTACAATTTTTAAGTTGTTTAGCTAGTTCAGAAAATGGACAACGTTCACCAGACGCTCGTAAATCCTTTAATTATTTTTTCTTTCTAGATTTGTCTCTTAAATGACTCCATATCTAGTCGTATAAAAACCTACTACCGAAATACTTGGCAGAATAATAATAGCTACTATTTTTTGTACCTTCTACGTTTCGAACAATATTTCTATTCAGTATTTTTGTTACATATAGTACGTTTCGAACAATATTTCTATTAAGTTTTTCGTTACATACACTACGTTTCTAACAATATTTCTATTCAGTTTTTTCGTTACATATAGTACGTTTCGAACAATATTTCTATTCAATTTTTTCGTTACATACACTACGTTTCGAACAATATTTCTATTCAATTTTTTCGTTACATATAGTATGTTTCAAATGGTACTTCCACGCGGTTTTATCCATCTCCTTTGTTCAATACTTCTACATGTATATATTTTTTCACCTACTGAGTTGTTGTAACTAAAACATCTGCACAAAACTTTTCAACTTTTCCACACTTGTTTCAGAACGTCAGCCTATATTGTATCCTAATAATTCACCTACAAGTCTTACAATTATAAATTGATTAAATAATGTTGATCCATAATCATTTACAATACCAGTGAAAATGTGAGGATAATCGAATCCGATTCGATTTCTCAAGGGTGATTGATTTCAAAACCATAAAATCGTTTCTATTCAGAAATATAAAGGATAATTTTGTTTGAAAACGAAAGTTTATCTCTTGAGACACAAACAAACCTTTAAATGATTAAATATCCAGTTGTATTGAGAATTACGATAAATCTTACGTGTCATGTGACTTACGACAGATGTGCGGGTGCTACACGATGGGTTGCATTTTCAACAGTTATTCACATAATACAAAACACATCACAAACTGACCCGCTACATCAAGAACAAATACAGTTAGACATATTGTTTCTAGGAAAGGGTACAATATATATATTCACTTTGTTGTGTCTACTTCTTAGTTTGTACTATTTCTATACCGTCGTCATGTTTTCTAAATGTTCGATTCAACATGGCTGACGATTATCTGATTCGATTTTATGAAAACGATTAATCGCTTTCAAAATTGTCGCAGCCTTATCATCTTAAACACAAAACAAAAAGCATACGAATGTTTAGTAAAACATTTATACTAATATTTCAAGAGTGTTGTATACTCTAAGGCCATATTTTAATAATATTATCGTGTTTTCATATATAGGTTCTTGTGGCATTTGTGTTTGTGAATAAATTAACTACAAGTTTACATGCCGTGAGCATGACTGCTAGTACAATAACATTTTAAGCCTAAGCATCAGTCTTACCAGATTAAAGATACTGTTGCGTCAGCGAGGTCACGTGACTAGTATCACGCCACCTCCTTCTAGAAATATCCTGTTCCTTCGTGAATTGTCGGGAGACTACTAGATTGGGGGTAGCCTGGTATATATAAGACGGTCACAACGTGACGGAACAAGGAGTAATTGAACTGCAGTCAGAGTATGTGTAATTGAACTGAGTATTTTTGAAGTCGAGCACGTGAGAC